CGCAATATATTTTTGGTCTAAAACTTGCAATAGGAATAAAAAAGCATCTGTTCATCTACATAAATTTCAAACAATATTATCGTTTATCACAATAATTTCTGAGACAGTTAATCGCCCAGCAAAATTTGTTATCATGACAGGCCTAGCCGCAACTGCTAGTTGGCAAATTGAGTCTCCAAAATGTCTTGCAAGGTTTGCAGGTTTCATAGTCGTGTCACTTGAACTTTGAACTTGTCTCAGTTTAGTTTCCATAAATTCAAGTCACTGGTCTCCCAACAGCTTCAGTCCAGTGAGACGCTACCTTTTAGTTTCTTGGTTGTAACGTTCTTTTGTGTGTGCTTCGTTGTTCCCAGGCCATCTCCAGGCTGTGTGAGGACAAGTACAAGGACCTGAGCAGGTCGGCCATGAGGAGGTCCGTCAGTGCCGACAACCTGACCGCTATCAGAAAATCCCAGGCTGTGCTGTCCTAACTTAAATCAGATGGGGACAGCGCCAAGAGACTTTTGATTTTTGAAGTAGATTAATATCTGTCACCGAATCAATGTCAACTTTAGTGGGTGAGACACGACCCAGAGCTACATGTACAACACTATAACCTGAGTCCAAGTCTATATGTGTTTTAAATTTTGAGGTAAAGCATGATCTTTTACTGATAAACGTCAGAGGAAACGGCATCAAAATGCTTCCAGAAGCCGCACAAGTTCTTGCTGTTTTCTTCTAGTCTTCTCTGTTTATTTTTTAACATGTGTCAGTGTGTCGGAGGGAGCGATGCTCGGCCTCGTCTCCCTTCTTTCCATCGGTGCAGACGCGACGGACTGTTTCGAGCTACCCTGTGGTGTAGCTCTGCACACGGACAACCAGAAGACGACGTTCTGCTTACTGTGTAGGCTCCTATAGCTGTGAACTGTTGAAGACTTTATTTAAATCGAATAAACTTCACTCTGTTTCACGTTGATTGTGCCCCGGCAGAAAAACTGTGTTTTTAGAAGTCACGAGGTCAGAAGCTTAAAAAAAGAAATGACGAGCTGCACATTTACCAAAAGAAACGGAGGACCAGTGGTGTCGTCTATATTTTTTTTAGTGGGTATACTGTGCTTAGAAACCAAAGTACACTGGTTAGTACAATGTAATCGTCAATTTATTTTGATTTTAAGCATATTGAACATATCTCTGATGCTTTTATTTGAATAAATGACAACAAACTTTGTACAACAGTTGGCTTTGTATTAAAAACGTTATAGAATTTATAAAACCGTATCAAAGCAAAATATGTTCAAGTATTAAGTAGTAGGTACATACAGAAGTATTAATTATACAAAAAACAGGTTTAACCAACTCATTGTGTCTATAAAATGTTCCAGTAAGCCCAATAATATCATGTCACGTATCATTACCAATGATACATGACGGGCTCGTATCGGTGGGCACTTGTAAGTGGGTATACTGAAATTTCCAAGCTTTTGTAATGGGTATACTCCATATACTCGAGTATCTCATAGACTACACTGCGTAGGACCATTAACAGTGACATTTTACAAATTTAACAAATATGTTCACATTTTAAACAAGTTATATTTCATCATGTTGACATTTATTTTGACTTTCACCTAAGCAAGAAATTATTGCACAACAGCTGCTTCTAGCTGTAATTTAACAATTTCAGTCTGTTAGCAAAACATCTGCTGAATCACCAGAAAGATCTTCCAACAAAGTTCAGTCAGGTCATCTGTTGAGACATTTCGTCCTTCATCCAAAGGACTTTGTCAGTCTGAGGAGCCACAACAAACTCAATCCCACAAGCAGCACACTCACATAGAGGACTAACCAGTTTGCTGGTGAAAAGATGGTTTCTGGGGCCCGCCCTATCCCCTGTCGATGCCTCTGAGGCAGCCATAGCCAAAGTGGTTCAAAACATCAAAGTCCATGCTCAATAAACAATGTTAAAAAAATCCAACAAAGTCCATGTCAGGTCATCTGGACAGTTTCTTTGTTGAGCTGTTTAATCCAAAGGACTTCATCAGTCCAAGGTGCCACAACAAACTGAGTCCCATAAGCTGCACACTCATAGTGGACCAACTAGTTTGACGGTGATGAGATGGTTTCTGGGGCCCACCCTCTCCCCTGTCGACTTCTCTGAGGCAGCATAGCCAAAATGGATCAAAACATCAAAGTTCATGCTCAATAATCCAGGTAAAAACATCCAACAAAGTTAAGTCAGGTCATCTGGATGGTTTATTTTTTTGTTGAGACGTTTCGTCCTTCATTCAAAGGACTTCATCAGTCCAAGGAGTCACAAACAAACTGAGTCCCACAAGCAGCACACTTCCATACTGGGGAAAAAAAAAAAAAGCAAATTGGATTGTTTTTCAATAATCCAGGTAAAAAAAATCCACCAGATCCAAAAGTTCTAGTGAAAATTGGATGAACATCTTATTTTACCTGACTGAAGATGGCTGTTGAGGCCAACTGGACTTAAACAAAAAACAATGGCTATAACTGTCAACTTTACAGGTATTGAACTAAAATTTGATGTGGTGGTAGCGGAGAGTAACTACAATACACACTTGGAGTGCAGTATCTTCTAATGTTGGTATTTAGCACCTGATTCATGATGGCCACTGCAGCTAATCAGTTTTATGTTGCATGCTCTGAAATGCACAGATACTGAGCTAAAGTTTGACACGGCAGTAGCTGGCAGTTCACAGCACATTCTTCAATCGCTAACAGATCAAGCAAGCTATCGTGATTAGACATATTTTTAATTTTGACCAACATGGCTGTAGTCAGTCATTTCTCTACGTACTGCGACCTCGGTCTGTGGTGTAGTCTACGAAATACGTGGGTATATGAGAAAAGCTTAAGAATTCCAGTATACCCAATTAAAAGTGCCAGATGATATACAGTATGACATATCATTAGGCATGTGTAAACGCTTCTGTAATAATTATCTGTATGCAGCGCTCGTTTATTATATTCGCTTATCCAGCAAATTATTGTATACTTCTGTAGATGAACATATTCTGTGATATATTCATAAATTAAACGGATTCATTCATTTTTCTGGACTGAATAATATCGTGCATTGAATTTAATAAAAATGTAACGTGAGGCGTTAATTATCTTTGACCCATCAAATGAATGTGGTCATTTATTAACAGAATCAAGTTTAACATCAAACATTTACATTAATTTGGCAAAATTGAAAATAACAACATGGCTTAGTTAGCAAGCTGTACAATTAGCAAACCATACGGCGATGGTTTTCCTCACTTCAAGCTAACTACAACAGACATTTCTAAAAATATCTGGATTAATTTCTAGCAGATAGAAGAGTTTAAAGATGAAGTTTAGAGGGAGGGAGATGGTGTGTGAGGTAAAGTGTTGAACAGAACGGCACCCTCCATTCGAACCCAGCTTTCCTCGGTACGCTCGGTAGTAAACTCGACTCATTACCTCTCTGACGATGAATCAGCGGATATGGAGTTCCAGTTAACGCTACCGGTCCAGCGTCTCCGTAGGATGGCAGAGAACCGTCCGGAGTGGTGGCAGGACTTCATCAACAACAGTTCACCTCACGAGTGGACTCACATGAGTGGAGTCCTTCAGAAGTTCCACTCAGATGTGGAAGATTGCATAATTCCCACAAGACTCGGAAGAGCTCCGGATCATGTCTGAACTCCTGTTCTCTCCAGCACTTCTCAGTTCGGCTTGCTCTCCGAACCGAACTCGACCGCACTCGACCGCAACTCGACTGGAGCTGCTCTCTGCAAACGACTGAAGCTGGTTTGAACTAGGAAGTACCGACATTTAAAGAGTTCTATTTCCGGTTCATTTGGGAGGTTCCTGATTGGTCAAATCGACCAGACAGGGGTGCGTTTTTGTGACGTAAGAGGTCACTAGAAGTCAGAAAAACAGAAAATGTTTTGGAACAGATTGAAAATGTTTTTAGAGACAGACGAGAGAAATGTTTGGACGAGTTGGGTGAAAACAGGTGCCAGCTTCTCTATATTACGTCTGAGAGGATTTAAAAACATGACAGTTCGTTCCAACAACTTGTTTTCGACCTTTGACCAACTTCACAATTTGCTCATTTCAGACAGAAGATCAGAAAATGCATGAATTACTCCGTAACACATTCCAATTCGATTTCTACTTTGAATGAGGATTAAAAATCACTAATACTGTTTCACAGTTGATTAAAAATGAGTAGTTCACTTCAACATTTAAAAATGGTTTGAACTAAACACACTTTAATTATCAAAACATTTGTAAAATAGTAATGATAATAAAAAAGAGAGTGTTCTTTCAATTGATCAGTG